CACGAAGGTAGGGGGAGCGGGCAGGCCTTTCTGCACCCCCCCCCAGCCATCACGAAGGTAGGGGGCGCGGGCGGGCCTTTCCACACCCCCCCTGGGCCTTTCCACACTCTTCCTCAGCAAAGATTTCTGCCCTCCTGTCCAAACAGCCTCAACTACCCTATACCTCCCCGTGGGCCTGTCTGTGTGACCGTCCGTCCCTCCACCTGTCCCTTTACCACCAGTACCGCTAGCCAGCTGTTGTCCACTCGCGCTCCGAGCTGTCTGTCAGGGCCGGGTGGCTCGTCTGACCACGACTCCAGTGGGAACATAGCGGGGCAAGGAGGAGACAGGCAGGGGTACCTTCCCAGAGGCTGGCGTGCACTGGGCCTGCTGAGGGCTGCCATTTAAACAGGCGAGAGGACAGAGGTGCAGCAGAGGCCAGGCGGGGCAGTGCAGGTCACTGCGGCGCAGATCAGCGGGTGCAGGCAGGCCAGGCCTGGAGGGCTGCCCGGCTGAGCGGGGAAGTGTGGCCCTGCCCTGCTCTGGGGACCCTGGTCTGGGATGGGGTGCAGCTACCTTGAGCTGCCCCAGCTGGGCAGGGGTGTGGCCTGTGGTCAGGAGCCCCAGCAGAATGCCTGGGTGTAGGACTGGGTGGGGGAGGACGATGGTCTGCTTTAGGAGGCCCCTCCCCAGTCACCTGCTGGCCTCCTCTGAGGCTCAAAGGCCCCACCCCACCCCTCCATCCAGGGGTGCCTTGTGGGAAATTCACCTTCCAGTGCGAGGACAAGAGCTGTGTGAAGAGGCCCAACCCACAGTGTGACGGGCGGCCCGACTGCAGGGACGGCTCGGACGAGCAGCACTGTGGTGAGCGGCCTGCCCGGCCCTGGGCTCCGAGGGCCCGCTGGAAAGCCCGTCTCTGCCCTCCCCCACCATCCTCCCTTCCTCTCTCTCTGATTCTCACTGCCCTCTCTCCCTGTCCCTTCCAGACTGTGGTCTCCAGGGCCCCTCCAGCCGAATTGTGGGCGGGGCTGTGTCCTCCGAGGGCGAGTGGCCGTGGCAGGCCAGCCTCCAGGTTCGGGGCCGACACATCTGTGGGGGGGCCCTCATCGCCGACCGCTGGGTGGTGACAGCTGCTCACTGCTTCCAGGAGGACAGGAGAGGGGGCGGGGGGCAGGGGGAGGCTGGCTGCGGGGACACGTGGGTTCCAGTCCAGCTCCTCTAGCACACTGTGGCCCTGGTCACTGCTCAGTCTCCTGCGCCCTCCTTCCGGCCTCAGCTGTGAGCTGGGTCAGCGGTCCACTCATCGGCTCGCTCAGGCATCTATGCTGTGCCATTGCGGCAGGCCAGGACAGCGCTAGAGCCGGGGACCATGCATCGAAGGCACGACTGCCCAAGCTGGTCCTAGCCTGACACACACATGCACACACACACACACACACACACACACACACACACATACACACATACACGGTGCATGGAGCTGTAATGGGGGGTAAGCCGTGACCGGGGATACCTCAGGGGACACCAGACCCAGCCCAGGGCCATCTTTCCCATCTGCCCAGTGAGCTGACCACCCATCCCCACGCCAGAGCTGGCCCCTCACACGACAGAGACCTGCTCCCTTTTGCATCCTCTGCTGTAGTGCCAGGGTGTTGGGGTGCTCTTTGTAGCAAGCAGTCGGACCTCCTGAGTCCCTTCTGCCCCACCACTGGCACCCCAGTGCCCTCAAAGACTGCTGACCTGGCACCTGGGGGTCTGCACTGACCAGTCCCTGCTGTCTGCTTCACACTCAGCACCCACACCCTCCCCGTGAGACTGACAGAGCAGTTTGTAAAGTGGGTGCACACATACACACAGATTGTCAGGCGACAGCACTGTATTTTTACATAGCTGGTCCGGCTGGATTCCCTCGAGAACACGTGAGTAGAAAGCTCCCACCTCACAGAGAGATGAGGGTGGAGGGGCACGCACCTGTGCAGGCAGGGATGAAGCTGGGTGGAGCCCAGGCAGTGTCTCCTGGACAAACGCTGGGAACGCTGTACTGCCACCCATGGGCCCTTGGAGGAAGGGAAGGGATGAGTGAGGAGGGCGGTGTCTGGAGAGGAAGCTGGCTCTAAGGCCCTGGGCAGGCAGAGGCCCCACTGAGGACACCCTGCCGGCTCACTGCAGCATGGCCTCGCCGGCGCTGTGGACCGTCTTCCTGGGCAAGGTGTGGCAGAACTCACGCTGGCCGGGCGAGGTGTCCTTCAAGGTGAGCCGCCTGCTGCTGCACCCATACCACGAGGAGGACAGCCATGACTACGACGTGGCCCTGCTGCAGCTCGACCACCCTGTGGTGCGCTCGGCCACTGTGCACCCCGTCTGCCTGCCCGCGCGCTCCCACTTCTTTGAGCCGGGCCTGCACTGCTGGATCACGGGCTGGGGAGCCCTGCACGAGGGCGGTGAGTGGGGACAGGTGGCGGAGCCGGGGAGACCCCATGTACGGGCCTGGACAGGGATGGGCACAGGCCCAGGACTCCACCCTGAGGCCCTCTAGTTCTGGGATTAATCGGGCTGGATTTTACCAAAGAAAACAACCTTTCACTGTGACCTGTGGGCCCCCGCCCCCTACCCTCCAGAAGGAAGGGCATTTAAAGAGGACCATGGTCATGGGGCATATGCGTGGGGCAAGCTGTAGGCGGAGGACCCCACAGGCCACACGCAAGCTCCAGCCCTTGGCTCCCTGGGCAGCAATGGGGGGACTCTTATAAGTACCTTCCACATCAAGGTTAGATTTGGGGGGACATGATTTCATATAATCCACCCAATAACCATGGGGTGAGTATCATGGCCCCATGTTATGGATGGAGGAAATAAGGTTCAGAGACATTTAGCAATTGATCAGAGTCACACAGCCAGAGGCGACTGGAGAGCCTGGACCCAGGGCTGCCGGACTCCACAGCCTGCTCTTCCTGCTGTGTTCTCAGAACCTGGGGCTCTGTCCTTTCCACCTTATCCCACCTGAACCCACTGAGCCCACTGTCTGGGAGCCACCTCGCGGTTCTGTAGACACGGGCCCAGCTGGCGTGATGACAGCCATGCCCTGTATTCTCCGTGGTGGAGCCTTCAAAATACGCACGATGACTTACAGTCTGGAGGCAAGCAGGACTGCAGAGTTGTTTTAAAGATGGGGAAACGTGGGCCAGTTCTGTAGCCTGGTGGTTAAGGCAGCCAGATCCCACATGATCGACCCTATGGTTCTAGTCCCGGACCCAGCGACTGAGAAACACACTGGGTGCATGTGTGTGTGCCCGAAATCCCACAGGCTGGAGAAGGAGAGGAGAAGGATTGGAGTGACCATTCCCCGTGAGGGTGCCTGCTCTCTCTCTCTCTCTCTCTCTCTCTCTCTCGAGAGAGAGAGAACACTCAGCCTCTGACAAAAACATTTTTAGACAAAGATAGGGAAACTGAGGCTCAGTGAAAACTGACTTGTTCAAGAGGAAGACAGAGTTGTGGTAAAACTAGAAGCGTTCACTGTGTTTGTTCATTCACTCCTTCATTCATTCATTCACCAACCAGGTTGTGAGCACCTGCTAGGTGCCCCCACCGAGTTAGCAAAGGAGATGCAAAGATGTAAGAGCACCTTGAGGAGGCGGTGATAAGAGCTGGCGTGGGCCGGGAGGTCCAGGGGACAGTGGCAGCACAGTGGTCACGGAGGGCTTCCTGAGGACAGTTTCTAAGCCATGTCTAAGCAGAGCTTAGAGGCTGAGCTGGCAGCGTCAGGCCAGGGGCCGGTATCCTGGTAAGGGCCCAGATATTAATAAGAAGCCCCAGTCAGCCCCAGCAGCCTGCCAGAGGAGAGCCTGGCTGAGGATCGTGGGAAGGACGCGGCACCTTGCTGGCCACCATAGGTTCTTGGGTCAGTTTTCCCCACCTGTGCTTTAGAACCCCATGAGAATCTTCAAGAAAACCCCTGCCCCCTGGACCTTGCCCCACAGGAGTGAGACAGAATCTGGGCACGCCGAGGTGCTGTGCATAGGAAACCTGAGGGGGTGCTCGCGCACAGCCTGCATGGAGGTGAAGCACTGGGCTGGACAGCAGGGGGCACTGGAGTTTAGGGGGCATTGAGGGCTCAGACCAGGGCCTTGGACGCTGCACAGGGCTGTTAAGAGAACAGGGGGAGACTGTGAGCCCTCGAGCAGGAGGAGTGAGGGCCAGGAGCTGCAGGAAGACGCAGCCCGAACAGGCTTTTGTTGGGGCTCTGTCACCATGAGAAGCACAGGAGCCAGAATGGGGGTGGGAGGACAGGGCGGGCAGGAGGGCAGGGCGTAGGTGCTGCCTCTGGCAGGGGTGAGTGGACAAAGCACAAGAGATGAAGGGGCCTGAGATGCAAGAAGTGCAGAGGAAGAGCAGGGGCACCCTGGGCCATCTCACCCCTGCCCCCCGCCCCATGGCAGGCCCTACCAGCAACGCTCTGCAGAAGGTGGACGTGCAGCTGATCCCGCAGGACCTGTGCAGCGAGGCCTATCGCTACCAGGTGACCCCACGCATGCTGTGCGCCGGCTACCGCACGGGCAACAAGGATGCCTGCCAGGTGACTCCCAGGGGGTGGGCCGGTGGAGGGAGAGGGCCACATGTCACCCAGAGCCAGGCCCTTTGCTCGCATCAGCCTGCAGTGGCCCCCAGTGGCCCAGCAAGTGGGAGTGGCCAGTCCCACTTTACAGATGAGGAGACCGGAACTCAGAGAGGTGGAAGGACTTGGCCAAGGTTGCAGAGCCACAGAGGGAAGACCCTGGGGTGGGCAGGTCTTATGCTCAAACCTGGTTCTGCTCTTACCCACCAAGAAGCACTGTCCAGGGTTGCACAGTGAAGACGCTAGGATGGAGGGCTGGCAGCCACGGGAGGGAGGCAGAAGTGGGGTGTGACAGGGGGACACACAGCCACAGGCCTCTGAGCACAAGGACCCACCAGAGACCAGCAGAGCTGGCGGGGGGCCCCTCCTACCGGGTACAGAACTTCAAAAGGGAATGTCACCCAACAAACTCTGACGTCAGACGTGAACCCTGATGGCCCTGGCTTGGAAGGTCCTCACCCTGACGCAACTTGTCTCTCCTCTCCCCGCTGCAGGGTGACTCGGGTGGCCCGTTGGTGTGCAAGGAGCCCAGTGGCCGCTGGTTCCTGGCAGGGCTGGTTAGCTGGGGCCTGGGCTGTGGCCGGCCCAACTACTTCGGTGTCTACACGCGCATCACAGGTGTGGTTGGCTGGATCCAGCAGATGCTACGCTGAGGAACTGCCTTCTGCAGAGCCGGGGTCCCTCCGGGCTCAGGGCCCAGCCTCCTCAGGCCGAGGCAAAGTATTCTGGGGGCAAGAAGGCTCTGTGGGGACAGGAGGTGGCAACCTGTCTCCCAGCTGGCTCCCTGACATCTGCCTACTGACTGTGAGGAGGGAGGGAGCCATCAGTTGGTGGTCAAGACGGCCCCCAGGACCCAGGTCCACCAGGGCTGGGACTCCACATCCAGCCACGTGCCTCCTGGTTGCCTCTCCTCCCCTCCTGCACCGCCAGCTTCCGGGGGAAGTAGCCGGGCAGCAGGCCCAGTGTCCAGGTCCCGGTAGGAGGGCCTGAGCCAACCTCCCATGCAGGGCTTCCGATTCCAGCCCGGGCAGGTCTAACTTGGGGGGTAGGGAACTGTGCCCCAGAGAAGGGCCCCTCAGAACCCTGGAAACTGGCCGCCAAAGGCCCCAGCCCCGTCAGCCAAAGGGTGGGGAAGCTGGGGCTCCGTGTCCCTGTCCCACCCCTCCCTGTGCCGCCCCCTCCGTGCCCCTGCCCCACCCCTCCCTGCTCCCTGTGCCACCCCCTCAGAGGTGAGCTAAGCCACCCACGTTATTCCAATAAAGCTGCAGACCCAAGCCCCTGTCCCCGGGTCTGAATGGGGACAGCATGTCAGCCTCATGCCCGTCACTGTGGCAGGCCCTGCCCCTGCTCTCTGTCCATGGCACCCAGAAGGCCAAGGGCCAGAGAGGCAGGAGTGGCCACTGAGAGCTGGAACTACCAGGGCAGCGGCCCGGACCCCGGGAGAAGCCTCGAGAGGGTAATGGTCAGGGACCCTCAGCTGGGAGTGCAGGGCAGGATGAGCACTGGCTTCCTTCCGGAGCTCGGAAGAAACCGAGACTTGGAGCAGAGCAAAGATGTCCTCCAGATGCCCTGAGGGTGGGAAGTGGAGCCTGCTTCAGACCCCCACCTTCTGGGTCCTGCCCCTCTGCAGTCCTTCACGGCTCCTGCTGTGTGCTGGGCACTGTGGTGGGGCCACGTGCAGGAATAATGACCCGGCATGAAGGGGCTATGGGTAGCACATAACTTGGGCAGTCAGAGGAGGCTGCCTGGAGAAGGTGAGACTTAAGCCAGGATTCACAGGTGGCCGCGGTGCGCAAGGACAGTCTAAGCAGGGGCTCTGTAAAGGCCGAGTTCCCCCATAAACGTGGCATCTTAGGGAACAGCAAGCTATGTGGTAGGTAGAGGCTGAGAGGGGAACCAAAAAGGTCGGGTAACAAACAGGTAGGGTGGCAGAGCTTGGAGCTAAGGGTTTGACCCTGGCAGCTTTGGGAACCACAGCAGGCTCTGTGGTGGGGAGACACAAGTGGCTCTGCCTGAGACTCGCCCACTGAGCCCAGGGCGTGAGGAGCTCGAGGCTCGGAGGTCAGTTCGGAGGAAGGAGAGGAGACCTGGGCCAGGCAGGGCAGCAGGAAGGGCCAGCGGGTTATTTAGGACACAGGGTCAAAAGGAGGAATGGGTCACTGGTGCCTCTTGGGGACAGGAGGCAAGGGAGCCCAGAAGTTAGGGTGAGGGAGGTGTGGCCAGCACTTTCCTGAAACATAACCAGGGACAAGGGGAGCCGGCCTGAGGGGACCTAGACTGGAGAGGGGTGGCAAAGGGAGGGAAGTGGCAGCGGGAGCAGCGAGCAGGCTGGTCCTGCCAGGGGACAGGGACTAGTTAGGCGGAAGCTCAGGGCACAGTGGGTGGGTTGGGCAGAAGTCAGAGTCCTGCTATGGGGAGGGATGCCCGGTCCTCAGCCAGCCTCCTGGTGACTTGGGCAAGCAGAGCTGGACTTGGAAGACGGGGTCACTTTTGGGAGTGCAGTGTTGTCAGGGGAACCGGACAGGACACCCCCAAGTCAGGGAGCCTCCTAGCTAGGGCCGACCTGGGCTCTCAGAGCTGCTGTTTGGCAGGCCTAGGCGGCTGAAGGAGTCGGCCAGGGTGGGGTGCACGAGGGGGCTGGATGCACGCAGAGAAGGTGGAGTGGGAGGCCTAGGTGCTCCTATGTCCTAGGGCTTGGGACGCAGTAGGGACCCGTGGAGGTGGCCCAGAGCAGGAAGTGGGGTTTAGGGTGCAACTGTGTAGGGTTCTGCCTCAGCTTCTGGGATCTCCGCTCGGCCAGGGCCTTTCCATTGTGGTGGGAAGAGGAGGTGTGGCCGTGGCAGAGGCTCCAGCCATGGCCCGGCCCCACCCCCAACACACATGGGAGGGTGACAGGGTCCCTGGGCTTTAGAAGGAATCCTGGGGCAGCTGGTTGGTGGGTAGGCACTGCGTCCTACGTGGCCAACTATGCATTTTGAGTCTCAGTCCTGGTGGCTTGAAAATTCACAGGGGCCAGGACCAGCAGTTGGCATAATGGCTATGTTGCTGGACTCCCATGTAGTCAACTGCAGTTCGAGTCCTGGACCCAGTGGCTTAAATTCATGCCGGGCATGTGTGCATGAATGCCCAAGATCCTGAGGGGAGAATGGAGAAGGCATTGAGGCATGGCCTCAATGATTTCTTGCTGTCTCTCCGTCTCTCTTTCTGGTGAGCACACGTGCCCTATAGCAACAACAACAAAAACTCTCAAAAAAAAAAAAAAAAAAACACAGGG